CAACTGTAGGTAGATTCAGAACAGCTACGGGATTACTCGTTGATAGGGTTAAATACTAGAAATTGTGAGTTTCAGACAACGGGAAGCATATAAACATCTGATTGAATTTCAGTAATAGCGAAAATGTCTTATTTATCCGATAGAACTGAAACTTTATTTATAGAGAAAACTCATGATATGGACAGAATTTTGTTTTAGAATCCGTGGGTTTCTTCAGAATACCAAGGATGTTATTAGTCTAAGTGTTACTGTACCCTACTCATACTATATTCCTATTTTGAGCGTTCACGTGACATAAAATCTTGTTTTAGTTCTTTACATGGTCAAAAAGTGTTAGAGAGAATGTCGATCTATTTATTTAAATTTATGTGCATTTAGCATGTAGACGTAAGGTTACTTTACACCAGTTTATATACATTTTATTAGCTTTTCGCGACTGCTTGCTTTTCTGCTAATATGTTATCATTGCTAACTTTGTGACAGAATGTTTGAGTTATCGGTTGATTTAGTGTTGATCATGATCTAAAATATCTGGTTCCAATAACTTGGCTGCTTTGCTCATTTTCTATTGTGTTCCTCAGCAGTTAAACTACATTAAGTATTTTAAATTTGATTTTATAAATTTTGTCGAAGAATTCTGTGGGCTTTGAAACGTTTATCATACTTAGTTATTTTCGTTGAATTAATTAATCACAATCCTTATGGTTGGAACAAAATCCTATCTTACAGTTGAGTTTTAAATTTACCCGAGGAGAAAGATATGAATTTAACGCTTCTCTAGGGTTGTTTGGTACCCAAATGACCATTGTTTCGAAGTTACAATTTCGCCCTCAGAAGTGACTAATGCTGGAATTTCAGTAGACGAATTAAAACAATCTCTTATTATATAAGCCATTCCATAACTGGTAATAGAACCAGCCATGTGTTAAAATTATACTACTAATTGCAATGAAGTAGTATTTTCTTGCTTGATTTTGTTATGCATCAGGAGATATGTATATATATCACTTAAGCAAGAGATAAAATGTGACATTTTCAATGAGCTATTTAAAAATGTTTGATTACCAATCTTTAAAAATGGTTACATTCCGATCAGGAAAATATAATTCTTATTAGTAATCATTATATTTTTGATATTCCATTTTTCCGTAATAATAACTATACTAATATTTTGTATACTTTACAATAATTATGAATATTTTTGATTTGTTAAAATGAATTAATTTGAGGTATAATGTACAAACTTGCCCTAGTGCTTTATTTGATCCTGGAATTTTACTCTTTAAATAACTGAATGACTAATTGTTAAAACATTACAGAACATAGTATACACATAGAAGAATGAATATATATATATTGATCCATATTTATAGTTTTGTATGCAAAATTTAATCCAATAAACTATATAGCATATGATTAACAATTGTAAACTAGCAATTTTATAGTACTTTGAACATCATCATTTTCATTAATACAAGATTCTGTTGATTTCACATTTATTTTTCGATTAAAATAACTAAAAATGTTCGTTTGCGAAATAATGAACTATAAATTTATATAATAAGATTAAACATTTATTAACAGGCTGGTATGATGCCATGATTAGGACTAACTTAAGGTAGTTAGTGAACTAGATATAAAAGTTTTGTTCGGTAATTACGCTTATTAGCTGATCAGCTTTTATCAATTTCCTATGTGTTTAGATTTTCTGAAATGATCCTTATTAATTACAAAACAATGAACTTGAAAAGTTTGCCTTGACTATGAAATTCTCCATTACTACCAAGTTAAAGATATTTAAAAAAAAGATGCATTATTGTCTCTTCAATGAAAAGTTTATTGATTTTGTTAAACGTTTTATGAGTGAAATAACTAATTATACTGACTTCTATGCATTGTAAATTCTCTTCTATCATATTAGTATTTCAGTGAACAACTTACATTGTCATCAGTATATGATAGTAAAATATAATTTTTTTTGAATAGTTTGTTGATTTAATGAACATATTGTAAAATTCTTACTAATTCAGAATTTTATTTAATTAAAAATTTTTTTTACGCGAACTAAAGATGAAGTATAAATCATAGAACCAAACTCACTCTTATTGATTAAAAAAGCTTTCATTTTCGGCATATTATCATTTACTTAAGCTGTACAGTAGTGAGATTGTCGAAACGAACATTTTATTCGCTGCATTGTTTTAAACTCTTTTTCGATGACACTATGACTTACTTTTGTTATTTGATTAAAAAACTGTCACAAACGGATATATTAATCGAATTCAGAAAAATGCATGACACGAAAATGGAAAGCATTTGAAATGACGAAAACATCACGCATCTGTGGTATATATTGAGTTTCCAAACACGTCATTTTATAAAACAACACAGTAAACTATTATCATTCTCCATACGAGTTCTTAAGACAATAAATTGTGTTGGCTTTTCAACTTATATCGGTTCTTTGATAAAAATAAATAAGGAAAATTGAATAGGGGAACGTGACTAACCTAACTCATCGTAGCACTGATTTTTGAAATGATGGAGGTTGGATTGAAGCCTCAGTCGCACACCGCCTAATATCAGGTATACCTAGTTGCCGGATCAATAATAAAGTTAAACACTGGTTCTTTGCTCTTCCTATGAAGGCTCGGAAGTTTCTGTTTGCTTACATTTTAATTAAAATCCCTATATTTGTATTATAAGTTTGATATGAAGTAAAAATTCCTGTTTTCACATGTGAACGATCATATTCGTTTATTGGTTGCTGAAACGTTTGTTAGTTACTGTGATGTCATGTGTTTTCCCATGGCCATAGATAAATTATACGTGAACAACAGTTTCCTTATATTGTTGCTTTTTCAGATAACTGTTAAACCTCCCTTCTAAAAAGAATGTCTTCCACTTTTTTGTAGTATTGGATGCATTAAAACGTAAACAACTGAAGCATAATGACTTTATGAGTGTAGTCTAGATTCGAGGCGTATTACTTTTGCAGTACTAATAACGTTTTCATTTACTTCACCTTCATTGATAGCCATTACCGAATAATAAAGAAACATGAAACAGTACTAATTATTAACTTTTCTAGCCGCCTGTAAATAGTACATATCTAATCATTGGTTTGTTTGAAACTTCTTGAATTATTTGAATTTTATTAGTGAATAGATTTAGTTATTATTTTTCTCAAGAATCATGATAAATATATTATAACTTCGTAAGTTTAACAATTCTTTTGGTATTTTTGTTGACAAGAAGATAAATATCTAACTCAAATACTTATTGAAAGGTTCCATTCGTTAATCAGTATAATCTACGCGTTCAATCAATAATTTGTCGTAGAAAGAGATTTTTATAGAAAAAATACTTTAAATGAACTAATCAATGAAGTAAGTAGAGAAATACACATATACTTTACTATAAAGTATTACTTTATTGACTACGGTAAATCCGTCGACGTGATATCATAATTTCTAGTAACTAAAATGACTCTTAGTATATTTTTGTCATATGAAAGTTTTTCAAGAACAAATGAGCCTCATCTTACTTAATGATTAATAATAATTATTATTAATCAAATGACAAGGCATATTTATTCTATTTCTTGAAAAACTGTCATGTGACAAAATATACTAAGAGTCATTTTAGTTATTAGAAATTATGGTATCACGTCGACGGATTTACCGTAGTCAATAAAGTAATACTTTATAGTAAAGTATGTGTGTATTTCTCTACTTACTTCATTGATTAGTTCATTTAAAGTATTTTTTTCTATAAAAATCTCTTTCTACGACAAATTATTGATTGAACGCGTAGATTATACTGATTAACGAATGGAACCTTTCAATAAGTATTTAAGTTAGATGGAAATCATCATTTGAACTCAGTAGTTAAGTGGATAACGTGTTGGCGTTTGAAATGAAAGATACTTGGTCTAAGCCCTACAATGAACATCAGTTTTGAGAAGCGAGTTCATCCAGTTGACGATTACAAAACAGGACACAACATACGTCTTACATTTCACTGCTAGCCACTATCCATTTTGGCTAATAATGCTTGTAACTTAAAGACAATCCGCACAGTATGCACACATGTCAAAGAGACTGATCGATTGTAGTCTTAAACATCATTGGGAAGATTCAAACAATGAATTGTTTATCATTATTATTATTGAATTAGTAATCAATGAACTGGACGTTTGTGCAACAACAAACCAATATGGAGACCTTTGAAGGACGCTAGTGACTCTGAAAAAATTCACCTTCTTAATAAGTACAAAAGAGGGCTATGAATTAGTGTGAGGGATTAAGACTAGGATTGAGCGTTGGAAATTCGGGTCAGTAATCAGAGTTGAGACTTTCATCACGAAATGACATCAGCTACAATGCCGAAAGATTTTTTAACCAAATGGATCAAATTTTGTGCCAAAATCATGATTCAATAAATGCCTTTTTCTAAAATTCACATGATGACAGATTATACAGTCGGTCAGATAAATTCACGTCTAAAGCGTTAGGTGATAACAGGAAATTCGGCATGAAACAGTGAGAGGCTACATTACTGAATCTAGTGTACTGGAACAGCTGAAAGTTTTCCTTACTGAACATTTATGAATATAGATGGTCAATATAATATACATGTGTACATTGTTAACATGTTCACATCAAATACCAATGTCGTGCAGTCAGAAACGAAGGAAAACTAATTCTATTTATAGACTGAGAGCATATAAACATATCATGGTGTCAGTTGAGTCCTTGAGGGTAAACAGGCATAGTCAAACTTAGTAAGTAAAGAGATGGGAGGGATGCAAAAACTTGTTCTCGGAATTTTTCAGATGTACGGTCAGAAATTCAGTCGTATGAACACTAAAGCATGCCTCCTGTTTGTAACATAATTTCAACAACTAAGTCCATAAAAAATGAGGTGTGCCTGGTTTTCATTTATTTTTTTCATCCTTGGAAATATTAATAATCTTGTGTCGCTTCTTTACTGCTTAGATTATCCAATGGGTGGAAACTGATTCAAGACTATCTAAATGGGTAAAATAAAGGAAGAGCCACTATTTCAGAAAAAACGAAAATTTGAATTAACAAGTGAATTTAATCTGAATAACCAATTTTCAAATCCAAAGGAAGATAACTACTTTGTGATAGGTCCATCTGATGGTAAATTTTCAAATTCAATTGCCTATAGAAATAAAATGAAGCGTAATAGTCGAAGTATTTCACCGAAAGGAAAACAAGAAAATGTTGGACACTGTTTAAAATGGCAACCACCTTCCCAGATAAACAGGCAAATTCGAAGGTTATCACCTATCCTAAAACTTCATAGAGATGAAGCTATCCAAACAGATGGAACACATACAACACTTGAAGAGGAGATTCGACGAATTCGAAATGAGATCGAAAATAGGAAGCGGATTTTACGTGCAAGAGAGGAAGCGAAAGAGAATAAGAAACATGTTAAAATCGAAAATGATCTTATGGATAAACCTCATACAAAGATTTCTAAACCAGCGGAATATGATTATCCAGTGGTCACTACTGTCCCTGATGCACCACGTGAACACAAAAGTATTAAAATGCCACTTCAAGAGTATTCAAGAAACTGGAAATCAGAGCCTCCTAAAGCTGCAGTTTACACTTCTGGAAAAAATCGTCTTTCAGAATATCAAAGTGCATTTAAAGCACCACAGCTGAATTACAAATTTGAACCAACAAAACCTATTAGACCATACACATGTAAAATCGACAAATTTCGATCCCGTGAAAATCCTTACGATACAGAGTACAGGCATGAATATAAACCTTTTAAATATGTTCCAGTTGATCAGTTAAAAACAACTGCGATAATGGAAAACAAAGATGTAAATATTATTCCTCTAAAACGTCCGTCGTCAGCGTACACAATAAGAGAAATAGCAGAAGATAATATTAATGATGTCGTAAAAGCACCAATTAGAGCTCTATCACCACAAATACATACTAAACCGATGCAGTATAAGAAAAAGTATACTTCAGAATATAACGCAAAATATAGAGACTATTCAGATATATTAGGTATTCCGCAAAATCAAATGAAATTGTCAAATAAAAGTATGTCATACGACTGGTATCGAGAAATATTGAGACTACGTGAAAATGCTGATGCCTATCGAAAACGCGATCGAGAGTCACATTTCTCACGTGAACACTTAGCACAGCTGGAATCCAATTATGTTGATTACTGGGACGCCCCAAGTAATGATACTTATGAGGAAAATTTAAAGAAATATAAAGAAGCCTTACAAATGCCAAGAGCTGGAAAACCATCAACAGATTTGCTTTCTAATCCTGACGAAATGGCGCCATTGGCCAGTCGACGGAGGAGAGTAATGTTAGACAGTCGCAATGTCGCAGGAATAATGGATCAATATGATTACTCTGACACAGATTGTGATCAAAATATAGAATATGATAATGATCATTTATCCGCACACCCATATCATAAATATAAATCAGACGTACAATGCACTAAAGACAATGATGTTGGAATATCACCAGCTGCCACGAAATATAACTATGCCAATGAAGTATATGACAGAGCAAACTACAGCCTAAAATCAGATAACCATTCGCTTCCATTAACAAACTTAGATGAGCCAAGAACAAATACTTCGTACAATAAGCAATGGTCAAATCAGTCTAAATACCATCCATCTAAAAAACAGAACCAGTGGGTCTACAATGAATGTAAACAAAGACAAAGAACATCAGACGAAACAGAATCGCTGACTAGCTGTAGTTCATTGTCTGAGAAATCAATGGAATCAAGCGCACGTTTAGCACGTGAAACTCTGGAACAAGCACAAAAGCAATATGAACGTATATTACGCGAACAAAAACATTGTCGTGAAAACATATATTCTCCAAATGCATATTGCGACTGCGAATCTAAGCCGTTCGAACAGTAAACACAACCAATTTCAAACTATGATAGATGCAACTTTTGTATGTTTTTATAAATGATATATTTATAATAGCAAATGTAAATCTGAATAAATGTGCATGCATAAATAAAATAAAAAGGACGATACACCTCTGTGAATTAAAAAATTACTTAATTCCTTGTTGAATGACCTTGTTTGTATACACTGTCTGACTTTAAAGGGAAGTGATCATCTATTGAATACATTATTTGTGAATTCAAAGAGATAATAGGTTTTCCTACCACAGAATACCAGTGAGCCTACGACTGTGTTTTTACGATTTTTCGTCAACTATTTTGAATGACTAACCGCATCTTTATATTTCGAAAATCTTTGTATTAGTTAGTAATAAAGGCAGATATTATCGAATTATATGCATACATATACATCGAAAGTGGACAACAAAATATATCAAACAAACAGACAGGAAATAGTTTTCTTGAGGAAAGTAGCCACTGGATGTACAATTATATATATATATATATATATATATATATATATATATATATATATATATATATCAGAATGGCTTAAAAATAATTTACAATTACAGCTTTGACTTAATTTATACACGTAAATTTGATATACATTTTGTATACGACACATTACTCAATTTCAAATAAAATAATGCATAAAAATGTGATAAAATCATAATGTACGTGAGCATAAGTTATGCAAGAATTTGTATATATATATATATATATATATATATATATATATATATAATGAGAAATTCTAAACAAATTGTTTTGAGTTTAACAGGTAGTAATGAGTAGAGATAAATTTATGATCACCGGCTAATTAAAAACAAACCTGAAAGAAATAAGTATCAAGAAAGGACTACAGAAAGTTAATTCATTTGACATGAATAAACAACCACATCATCCACCATGGATTATGGTTAAATTTTTAAAAAAAATTATTAATTACTAAGAAAAGCACTGTAAAATACACATAAATGACTAGATAATAAATTAAGTACTTTGCATTTTAGAAAAAAAACATTGTGATCAGAAACAAAATGAAAAAAGAAAAACAAATGCTAAATTACAAAATAATTTAAGAATTGATACAAAAGAAACGGCGCCAACCCTTTTTAGGAGTTTTAAATTTGTTATTATTCTCTGTTATAATACCAGCTGAATGACTGTTGGTCGTTATGTGGTTATTAGTAATAATATTATCCTTATTAGTAGCTTCTGTACAATTTCCATTACATAATACCGACTCATTAGATTTAGGTTCACGTAATAATGCCGGGCCACCTAAATCAGCTACTTTAAGACCACACCAAATAGCTAGATCGAAAACAGTTTTAAGATTTTTCTGAGTCAATGCAGAACATTCAACATACGCTTCAGCGCCTAATTCAATAGCCAAACATTCGGCTTTCTCTTTATCTACCGGTTCTTCACCAATTTTAGATAGTTCTAATAAACGTCCAATATCATTACGTAGATCACATGCACAACCAATAAGAAGAAATGTAGGACCCGGTATTAAACTAGCTTCATTTAGATTTTTCGATTCACGATTAGTATGTACAGAAGATTTTGATTTAGTTGTTACTGACGATGAAAGGCAATCAAAATGTCTTCTTGTGGATAATCCGAATAATTTTGAAGCAGTTTGTTCAGCAGCATTGTTGAGAATGATAGGTGCAGATGCTAGTTCTTTCAACCAAACAGTTTTCAAGGATCTAAAAGTATCTGGTCGAATAACGGAGAAGCACAGCAAGATAACATGTGCATCCAAATAGGAAAGATGCCTCAAAGAACTAACTTCTTCCTGAACAAAGTGTAATAGTAGTTAATAAGGAAAGCTTAAGAAACTAGTGATATAAGGTATATGAAAATATTTCTTTAAGATAAAAACATGACAACTCAGACTCTAACGCTAATCACTGACTATACAGATCACAGTTGATGATCAGTGCAACTGACTGAATGGTACAACAGTACACTAGTCGATATTAAGGTCTATATTCAACACGGGGTAACAGATGTAGGTAATTACGAAAACAGAGACAATTACACCATAAATGAACAACAAAAACTTTCTATATACTAGCCAGTCTGCATCAAAAAGGATCAGCTGTGACTCAGACAACTCCATGATGTAAAAAAATACATTATTCACGTTCAAATTTTATGAGTAACGTAAGTTTTATTTGGCAACGAATGATAGCTAATACATCGAGGTTGCACGCAATATTTTCAGAGAAACAATATCTTCATTTTCTAATCTATTTACAGATAGTTGGCTAGTAAATACGTAAGTGCTACTCTGACGTGCTGATCGAGCTTGCCTATCGAGATTACCAAATCGAGCTACATTGGCTGGAACATATTTTCGTTTAGGTCCTACCATGTCAGGCAGGTTGATTGGAGAACGATCGCACTAAAATCAGCTACTCAAGGTCTGAGCGCCAAGTCGTACTGCTGACTTTAAAGGAATGTGACAGCAGTAAGGAGTTTCCCTCAGACAGCCAGCATCTGCAACGATGCTGGCTTCTCAGAACGGAAGGAAGGGGTTGGAAAATGTCAAACCTAAAAATGTCACGCCTCACCTTACCCCAAGGATTTCCATCTTTGGCGGTAAAGCTTTTTGAAGAGCAGAGCTAAAAACTCGGAAGCTTCCCATGAGAAATTCATGCGTGACCAGCCTCAAGCAGTTGTCTTTTGAGCTCTGCAGTCATGCTCCCAGGTCGCTAAGACTAACACTAATCCAACTTTCTTTTAGGTCCTTTAACAAGCAACCTTCCACGATGTGGGCAGCCGGGAAGTAACATCCACTCTCATATTTGTAAGAGCACATGAGACCAGGTTAGTCACATTACTTTAGTGGCATGTCTATTGATTTATTTACATCCCATTAAGTACTTTACATTTGTGCTCCCATTTCATTCAATAACTCGCAAATCATCAGATTTTATTCTCAAATTATTTTTAGTATTTAAATACTTCTAAACGTCCAGTTAGAATATGTTGTTTCACGATTAGGCTTGCATCGGCACCTGAACTAGTGATAGGGAGTGAAGTAGTTGAGCGAATTGACCGCCTGACTTATCTTGGGAGTCTCGTCAGTACTGATGGCCTGGTGTGTGACGAAATCTCAGCACGGATACAAAAAGTTCGACCGGCTTCTGCCACCTTGCATCACTTATGGCGTAGGCAAGATATCCGTTCGCTAACCAAAGGACGAGTGTACTGCGCAGCAGTTCACTCCTTCCTAATCCACAGGTGTGAAACATCGCCAGCAAGAAGGAAGGATATTCGTAGGTTACTAGTATTCGATCACAGGTATCTTCGAAATATTGCTCGTATGTCGTGCGACAATCAAGCAAGCAATGCACTTGTTAGGACAAGGGTACTAGGTAAGGATGTCACATCAATAGATGAAGTACTGAAACTTCATCAATTGAGTTGGTTGGGACATGTGTTACGTATGCCCAACCACCGACTGACCTGACAAGTGATGCTTTGAGGTATAGGAGTAGGTTGGAAGAAAGCTAGGAGCGGCCAGACCAGAACATAGCACAAATCCATCAAATTACTGACAAGTGGGCTGACCTATGTTAATAGGTGTAGACTACCAGGCTGGGGTGGTCGACAGTAGCAACCGATGGTTAGAGACGCCGAACGGCATGGCTCAAAATCACTTGCAATGGCGTCGGTGCATCTACTCTTTGTGTTCTGAGATGGTGGAAAAAAGTTGTAGCTCAGGTGGATGATTATGGTGGTGTTTCGTTCTCTGAGCTGGATGTTTCGATTGTGGAGATTTCATTGTTATTTTGAACAACAATTTCAAACAAACTTCAAACAGAATTCAAGTATACGAATTTCTCCACGTTTGACCCGTAGCTCGTTCTGTTAGCCTCGATCTTGTGTTCTCTTAAATTATACTCTTCTGAATTCATCATGACCAATTTTGTCTTTTTAGATTGATCGCAATGTGATATTCTTCTCGAATCACGTCTTCGATCCTTAATTTTTTGATTACCGCTAATACTTCTACTACCTCTACTATTATGGGATTTAATTGACCATTCTATCTTTCTGAGCTAATGCAGTGTAGCAGCTTGAGCTGATGTACGCACGTGTGAGGTTCTATGTTGCGACTGACTGACTGACCGACCATCTCCTAGAAACTCCTAGGTTGGTATTAAGGGTTTAGTTCTGTGACTGGATTACCAGGACATGTCCTTCATACATTTTAATATTTTATCATACCAAATATTCCGTAATGACAATACGTTTGTGGATGAATAATTCTAGCTGCTAAATAAGGAGTAGTAACAGAAACGTAACGTTACAGTGAAACAAAGCAGATAGGAACACTCACTTTGCCTCCTGCATCACAGATTTGTAGATGCACTGGTCGTGTATCAGCGCACACTTCGACTAGAAAGAAAAGATTAAAATAACTTGTAAGACGAAGAGCTACATAGTACAATAGGTGAAATTACAAAATGATATCATGATATGCAACGATAGTCTGCGAATGCTGGCTTTAAGTAAATGATTAAGGACAGTGTAATTAGAAACCGAATTCAGTTGTAGCGATGCCGGTGCCTAAACCGGATAGGTAAGTTCGGGAAATACACTTAGGGTAGTGGGCAAACGCCAATTATAAGACTATGGTTCACATGAGATTCAGGATTCTGAGAGAACAAGTGGCGTATATAAACCTATTGTCAAACACCAGCTACTATGAGATTGCATCTGTCAGTGTTGGTCCCCAGACCGTAGCTGTTACCTTGACGTGGTGGTTGGGCTTGCCTGTCGTGTTGACCAAACCGAGCTATATCGTCGGAACATATGTTCCTGTAGGTTCTACAATGCCAGACAGGTCGATTGGAGAACGATCAGACTAAAAGCAGCTACTCAAGGTCTGAGCGCCAAGTCGTACCGCTGACTGCAGAGGGGCGTGACAGCAGTAAGGTGCTTCCCTCGGACAACCAGCATCTGCAGCGATGCTGCATTCTCACAAGGAAGGAAGGGTTAGAAAAGGTCTACCCTAAAAACGTCACACCTAACCTTACCTTGTAGTGAGTCATTCAATTTCTAGCTCACATAACTTGTCCCACTTGTCTTTTGACCTTGTCACTCATTCGTCGCTTGTATTCATGTGTGTGCATGCCTACTCGCTTACTACATGTCTGTCTTATTTTTGTATGACTATAGATTCTTAGTCATGCTTTATCTCTCGGAGTTGGCTCACTAACTTTCTCCCATTCGCCTCATCGATTCATTCGCACATTCGCCCGCTAGTGTGCCTGCACTGTCTGCTTGTGGTCTGCTGTCCCATTTTGTGGTGTGCTAAAAATAAACGAATTTGACACTTCATATTTGCCTTCTGATTTATAACCGAAAGGCATTATTTGGTGCTGATCGCCTAGACGAGTGGATTATGAAGATTAAGAACACGTTGAAATTGGCCACCACAACCTCACGGATTTCCGTCTCCGGCGGTAAGGCCTTTTAAACAAGAGCGGGGCTGACACTTCAAAAACTTCTCATAAAAAGCCGTGGGTAACCGGCCTCAGTCGCTCGGGCTCTGCGGTCACGCTCACAGGTCTCTAAGATCAACACTAATCTATTTTCCTTTTCAGGTTCTTCAAGAAACAACCTTCCACGGTGTGGGCAGCTGGGAAGTGACAACCGCCCTCATACTCGTAACAGCACGCGAGACCAAATCGGTCACAAACAAATCCTTCCTACACCCCCTAACACCTCTCTTATCCCCACGACTAACTCTACTCACATTCCTTTATCAAACTGCACCGCTAATGCAAACGATGCAAGTTCACGGAACGCTAATCCTGGTCTCCTGAAACCCCGTTCTAAATTACATGTTGGAGCTTTTAATGTACGGACATTGTGTGAAATATGACAACAGGCTTCCTCAGCTAGAACTTTCAAATCTCGCGCAATCAATGTACGCTGCGTCTCGGAAACGCGCATACAGGATCCGAGTAGCGTCATTCACTTGACCTCACTATGTCAGAATAAAGAAGTAACTCGTTTTATTTTTCACGTATCCGGAAGCCCTGGTGCAGCTTCCCGAGGTTTGACTGCTGTAGGTATAGCATTGAGTCCTAGAGCAGAACTAGCTCTTTTAGACTGGATCCTAGTAAATAGTCGCTTGTGCGCTGTCCGACTGAACGGGACAGTAAGGACTCGGAAAGATAGGGACACTCACCGTTGTCTCTTCGTCGTATCTGCCTATGCCCCCACTGACTGCAGTTCAGACGAGGTTAAAGATGAGTTTTACAGAAAGCTTTCGGACCTCCTCCAAAAAGTTAGGCGCTCTGATGTAGTAATAATAGCTGGTGACTTTAATGCTTAAGTGGGCAGACTAAGTGAAAACGGAAGACAACTGGATGGATTTTATGGTGTCGCGACCGTCTGTTGCAAGTATGCTCAGATAACCACCTTTTTCTAGCAAACACTAACTTTAGGCATAAGGAAAAACATCTGTTGACCTGGTGACCCCCAAAGTCGTTTTAACGTTGGACCCGACCAGATTACATTGCCATCAGCCACCGATGGAGGGTTTTGATGGAGGACTGTCCCTTGTTCTGGGGCACATGTCTAGATTCAGATCATGACCTAGTGTGAGCGCGTATTTGTTTGAGGCTTACTAGACGTAGAAAGACACCGCAAGGAAACCTCTAAAGGCTTTACTTAATGATAATAAAGCTAAGAATATATTTCAGGAGCAACTAGAAAGACAGTTAGGCGACCATGTAAGCGATTCCAACCTGGAGGCAGATTGGAATGATATCAAAAAGGCTGTGGAAACAGCAATGATATCTGCTAGTAAGGTAAACCATAAGGCTAGGAAGAAGCCGTGGATCTCAGCAGCGTCTACAGAACTGATAGAGGCTTGTAAAATCACCCAGACTGGCTCTGAACATGACGAAGAGCGAAGTCAGCTTAAGCACATGCTGACAAAAAGCCGGGAAGTAACATCCACTCTCATATTTGTAAGAGCACATGAGACCAGGTTAGTCACATTACTTTAGTGGCATGTCTATTGATTTATTTACATCCCATTAAGTACTTTACATTTGTGCTCCCATTTCATTCAATAACTCGCAAATCATCAGATTTTATTCTCAAATTACTTTTAGTATTTAAATACTTCGAAAAGTTCAGTTGGAACATGCTCTGCATTGGGAGATATTAGCTGTTTAAAGCATGAAAAATTCCGGGCGTTGTGGACTTTTGAGATAACCGAAATTCTGATTTTATTGACTTTTCCAAAGTAGTTGATAGTGATTCATATTTGGAATAAAATGAACCATCACAAAAACCTCGGTGTAAATAAAACTAAATACGCCGTAATTTAAACCAATAAACACAAAATAAACAAACGTAAACATAGTGACGTCGGGGAAATTAGCATACATTGATACAACACTAGATGGCTATAACCAAATATTAATTCTAACTGGGAACCTGGATCATATCATGGTCGTAGAAACCCATTCAGTTAGTCAGAAGTAACGTAGAATCTGTTACTTATATGGATTGGTTCAAGTTGTTGCATTACATCAGCATAGTGAGGTAAAGTTATCGGGATGAAAACAAAGGTTTCAAAGGCGTAAAAACAGCCTCACGACTTATAATAAGCTCTTTTCCGTCTAAACCCACTGGTTTGTAGTTCCGGTTGAGACTACAGATTCATCATGATTCGCCATAAAATGGCTTCAAAAACTGGGACATTTCAGGTAGTTTACAGGGTTTTGAACTACTTAGGAACAAAATTTTCATCGTTATACCAATTCTACTCGCACATTAAGATCAGGAGTTATGTATAAAAGAAGCTAGGGAACTGGGAAGCATTACAAGGCCTGATCGTAAATCTCATGTTAAAAAAGACAAAATAATATAAGCCTATATTTACTGTCATAAAAAAAGGATCAAAAGTGGCCCATTCAAAACTTGCCAGGCCTTTAAAGATGATTTCGAATATTATATACCTTTACACTGGGTCCTTATGACGAATAAATACCATGTTCGACAGACCAGAGCCAACTATATAATAGCTGATTACTGGACTTCACATAGAAACTTTTTTTTTTCGAGACAAGAGAAATTTCAATGAACTATTATGATAGTTTTAGTCATTTTCGAAACCTGTTCTCAGAAATAACAAAGACTGATCAACCCCCCCCCCCATGTTAGAAAGAGTAGAACTAACCGTAACTGGCCAGCTGCTGATCGACTAAAATCTTTTTATGTATGAGTTAAAAACCAACTATCCCTAAGATCTAAAAACTATGTGACAATACAAACTTTCAAAATGACTGGACTCAATCAATTACTACAAGCAAATGGTTTGACTAACCACAAAATGTATCTAAGGCAGATGGCTTGTATTCCGCTGGATAATCATTAGAAGTATAGCTAACCACCAAACTTGTTTTCCCAACTTGCTTGTCACCGATAAGGATACACTTCACAGTAGTAGGACGTTCAATTTCTACCTCGTGCCCGGACGTATGTTCCGACTGTATTTCATTTATACGCGACGACTGGGGTGAGCATCCACTTTCAAAATGTCTCATTATTACATCCTAACATAAGATGTATTTGTTCTACATATGAATTGTGATATATTTATTAATGAGGGAATAATATGAAAGCTCTTGCAATCGCAATAATAATCCAATGAACCCGCCAGTTTCGTATGAGTAATAAATAGCGGATTCGAAATCCTACCAGTTTAATTACCAGTTTATCTTAATCTCATGTTAGTGCGACTTCTGACTGTTTTCGATTGTTTACTTTGTTAAAGATAAGTGCGTTGTACTTTCTTACTTGGTCATCGGTTAACTTTTTCTCTTGTTGCTTCTTCCAGATAATCTGACATACTACTTACAATCCCCCAGCATTCAAGTCATTTTCACGCTAAATGCTACCTTACTAAAGGCTGGATGTCATACATATATGAAGTCTCACTCCTTAAAACTTTGGCAGATGGAAACAATGAACTGTTTATTTCTTGGGTTTTGTATCTGCATATGTGTTTGATAATGAAGACTCTATTTTTACCACGGTGTTTCTGGATCTGAAAGTCAGAAGCATCGGACGATAATATGAACTGGGGAGATGGTTTAAATAAACTTAGTTTTTAGACAATTTTTGGAATTACTTGGAATGATTCATAATTTCATTCACCATGCACAAACAATTCGTTTACCATGAAATTTTGTATAAGTGATTACTATAATTCACTATTCACTATCCACATGCTATACGGACTGCCTTCACGAAAAAATGTGTTCGCATATACACCGTGTCCTAACTTCTTGGTTACTGACAATCATATTGTACACATTTTTAGCTCAAGTCATACAGCAAATAACCTGTCATTAACACATGAACACCTTGGATCTATATTTGTGATATCTTGGAATTATTTGACTTAGATCATCACAACTGTATATATATATATATATATGAAACTGTGAACACTCACCATTTTGACGATGACAAGTAATTTACATATTATGTGTTTACTTGTCTTGCATTCTATAGACTTATTAATGTATATACCTACTGACTTAAGTTATTTCGTCATCTTTTGGTACTCCACAGAAGTAGTTGGGTAGATAACCTCAATCGTATTCACCTCCACTACCTTAAAAAGTACTGTATGTAAAGGGACAGAGCATAAATAGTTATCGTTACTGATTGAAGCTGTTAGTAATCAGAAATGTGCTCTCAGATAGATCTGACAATCATAATCTTAACTGAAACATGGCTATCCCCTGACGTTGTAGACGAAAAGGTGAGCTTGCAAGGCACGGCACTCTTCCGAAGCGATAGGGTAAACCAGACAGAAGGCGGAAACACTATATATATTAAGAGCCATTTTAAAGCCGAGAAACAACATGACACCTAACTAACCGAGGTAACAGATTCATGTTAGTGTTGTTTCCACACAAAAGGCACGAAATACTTGGGTGGATGGATTTACCAGACCCCCTCAAAATAATATACTGACTGAGACAATACTGCAACTGCCACTCCTGGGGTTTGATCAAATACTCTTAGCTGAAGATTTCAGTACCCCATCTCTAAATCTCAGTGAACGGGGTACAACACCCACTGATTGGTTCCTAAGACAACTCGGAGCACTCAGTAGAAGCTGTGGGCTAGTTCAGCATGTATACAGCACCACTAGATGGACTAAGGATGGAAAATCCTCAAACGTGGATCATCTGTCAACAGATGACCGGCTCCTGGTTGAGGATGTTCACATACATAGACCAACAAGAAGTACTGACCATGACACACTCTTGTTTAACACGGTCATAAACGAAACTCTTAGGCAGGTCGAAAACCAGCCCTACTATTGCTGCACTATGGCAAAATACACGAGCGTGAGAAAGAATCTTCCAAAGGCACATGGCCACGGGGATAGCTGAGGCTAATAGGAGATGACTTCTGGTAAACAGTGAGAGACATCATCCAGAATGCTATCCTAAACAATGGACCTCAGTCATAGCACACACCTGGGGATAGAAGAACATGGATTAGGGGTCGTATTGAGCACTTGCTACAGGCGAAAAGAAAAGCCTAGTACAAGCGGAAGGTCCTTCTGCAGGATTCCAACTGTAGTTCTTACCAAGCATCGGCGTACGGATGCAGTGTCAAAGTTCAAAGTGATAGGAGGCGCTTTCAGACGAAGCTAAGTGTCCAAATACAGGTGAGACCTAAGTATTTGTTTACGCTCATGACCAAAATGAAACTTTTGAATCAGTGTTTGTATTGCTTCATAGGTCCGGATGGAAAAGATTTCACCAACCTAACCATTAAATTAAACCAAGCACCTACATATTCAGATTGCTGCTCAAACATAGTGCAACTTGATAGCCTAGGTAATAATGGACTTACTCCTGACCTAGTAGAAAATTAAAGACTTTGCGTGCCAGAAAGTCATCAAGGTGTGACAATATTCACCCCGGAGTTTTGAAAGAGTGAAAATGCTCTCAGTTCACCGATATGTGACCTTTCCGGGCATTCACTTTAGTCACACCAACTCCCAGCTAAATAGATACAAGTTTCTGTCACTCCAATATTCAAAGTGGGAGATTGAAAGGATCCAATCTGTTACAGACCAGTTTCATTTCTAACAATACTATCAAAGGTAATGGAGGGGCTGGCAAACGGACAGATTAGGGATTACATGGATAAGAAAAGCAGATCGTGCACATACAGTCGTTTTATAGAATGGGACAATTGCACATCCTACTGGGACCGAAAAGAACCGGTGCACATAATGTTTCTAGACTTTGAAACACAGTACCCACATTACATAATCATGAATGTTGAGGAAATGGGTTTTTGACCCCCTCTTATATTGGCTTAGAAACTACCTTGAGCGTAGAAAGTTTCGTTGCAAGGTAAATAGGGTGCACGCGAGTTGGCGAGTTTCAAAATCGGGAGTTTCAGAAGAAACTATCTTAAGTCCTCTTGGCTTCCTGATATTCAATAATGACCTGTTAGACAAGTTGGCTCATTGACATTGATCTACTCAGACACTGCAAAGATCTAGAGGTCCGTTATAAGCGAAGACGATTCGACTGACCTCCAAAAAGATCTCATATCCATTGAGGAATCAGCAGTGAAAAATGGTTTAAAACTAATTCAGAGGAAATGTTACTTTGTGTAAATTCTGCCCCTCATGACGCAGACAACTGACGGCCTCAACGGACGCCTACTTCCTGCGATCTCGGTCTAATAACCGCTAAAAGCCTCAAAATGGGCTCGCACTACAAAGGGGACGCAGCCAATGCTGATGAAACTCATAACTTTAGGCGAAGAGAAATCGGTGTTATCACTGCAGAATTATTATTGACACTGTTTTAGACAGATACACACCCACACCTTGAGGTTCACAATGTCGTCACACCCCTCTTTTTAGAAGAAACATAAATCTCTCGGATAAAGTGCAGGGGCGAGCAACGAAATGGGTGATAGGGTTGATGAATGATACTTCTGATGACAGGCTCCAGCACTATGGATTGTTCTACCTGATTTCCATGATAATCTGAAGTGGCGAATAATATCTTAGACACTCCGAACCATCTCAACGTGAGCATCTTACCGAAGCTCCACCACCACGCTCCTCGAGGTAATCCTCGAAAACTGCTCTTCAGATCGTGAACACTCAGGTTCGTGCACACTTTTTCTCATTAATAAATGTTTCAACTTGAAATGCTCTTCCAGTAGATGCGGCCAAGTAAAGACTTGATCAACACGTAAACTCAAGTACAACTTCCAACTGACTAGATATAATGCAATCGAGTGTCTTGACCCACATCCACTGGACACTACCAAACACCTGAAACCGTGCCGTAAGAACAAGAATCGAGCGGAAAGACATCAATTTGTTCATGTTAGCTCGTGGAAAAATATATTGGATTTTGGAAGCAGATAGTTTCACAACTAACAATTTGGAACCTTTTACAAATCTAGGTGTGTGCACTTTCGTCACGTCAAGAAAAAGATGGCCACTTGGATATAGTTTATTACCAAGCTATAAAAGTGGTCTGTTGAGGTGAAGAATAAAGAGAAACCCAACCTGAAACTTATCAAGAGAAATTTCAAGGATATTATTTCAAGGATATTTAATGGATGCATCAGAATGTTCCATTATGTATCGCACACAATTCAAATCGACAACGACGAGACGATGATATCATTCGACGTAACAGCCTTATTCACCTCAATAGAGTCAAGCTTATATAAAGAAACTCATTCCCTGCTACTAGCCAACGACGCAAACATGCAAAAATATACGAAACTTCAGAGCCAAGGTCTTCTAGAACTCTTCGATCTAGGGTTAACGATGTATTTTCAATTCAACAATAAAGTCTACGACCAAACAAAAGGAACACCGTTGGGATCACCATTATCAGAACTCATCGCGGAAGCTGTAATGCAGAGGCTAAAAGCGTCGGTTTTACCAGTGATCAAACCAAAAACGTTGGTTCTCTTTGTAGACGATACATTCATCACTATCAAAAGGAACGAGCTGGAGAACATCTATATATATAGTTTTTCTTCTGTAATATAATTTACCACATTTAACAGAGAATAAAAGAAAACTATTTTATGATTTATTTACAGGTCGAATTTATAACATTCAATCAACAAAATTTATGTTCAGTAAATTTATAGTCGACTAAATTCTGATCATATCAGTTATTTCATTTTATTGTGTATTGTATAAGATTTATTCAAAATGAATAAGTAAGGTATCGAGATAGCAAATTAGAGTGATTATAAAATCATAGGAAGTAAATCTTTGTTATTTTATTCACTTGTATGTTCAGAATAATTATTGCTTAAGGCGTTTACAAAAATATAATGACAAGCTTTTAATATTATTCACTCAACGATTTAGCTCTAAGGCATACCAATATATATATATATATATGTATATATATATATATATATATAATACGAAAGAGATTTTTATTCCATTTCAAGTTTCAACTAATAACTCAGACGGATTACATAAATACCGATGATTTTCGGTATTGTTGAACTAGAATATTGTGTGAATTATATGCATTTTTATTATTTTCATCTGTAGGGATTTGAACCAAATCTGCTAATGACGAAAATGTTATTTTCAACTGTTTATTATTTCACTAATATTTACCATTATTATTACTATAGTTTCAGTGACATTTACGTAAATCGATAGAAGGATCACTGAAAAATGATTATTTATTTCTCAATATTGAGAGCTGTGCTTTTTTAAAATGTATCTTACTATTCAGTAAGAGATAGTATATATTGATTGGTAACTTAGAAATATTCTCTGTTTAGTACATGTCTTATTCTTACATGGTGTATCAGTTATCTCATTATTTCAGATGTATTTTATTAACACATCTCAATTGGCGAAAATTCTCATCGATAATTTTCTCACAAATATTCACAGAAATGGTAGTACATGTAACTGATCGTTTTAGCTGAATAATTCAATAAATATACCGAAAAAGAAAAAGTCCATTTCACATTCATTAATTTCTACTGAAATTACCTATTATGTAAACTAGATTCCAATAGAGACAAAATGAACATTAATAATAACCGATCAAGATCAATAACGACAAGACAAGCTTTCAGTCGTACATGGAGAATTTCAAATACTTCACTTCTATTTGGAGTTTGTTTTGATGATGTTGTTCAGAAGAACAATGAAAGCTTCACAACCAAAATATCCATCTCAGAGAACGAAGCACACCACAATAGTCCATCAGGGCTAAAAATGTTCTGCAACATCTCAATATATTCTTTACCCTGGGTTTATTTATCTTTTCAGTGACAGGTTCGTTATTAGTATCTACTGGTGATCATGGTCAATCTCGACTCAGTCTCCACTAAAGAAAATACACAGGTCATTACATTCGGGGGATGATAGTTTGACATAAAGCTGAAAATAATATTTTTGTTTGAGTGTAATCCAAACTCAGGTTTGGATTGAAGATTTAGTGTCTAGGTGGTTTAGATACGCGTTATTGCCCAGTTAAAATCCGGAAGAAAGATTGGGTAAATAACGGTTCTAACATCCATTATAAGTATAAATGTAAATTATTACCTAAAAAAATACAGCCACTCAGTTATTCCACCAAAAACCGTTCAATTAATCAGTTAGCTGCAACAAATAAATGTGATTCTATCCTTTCCTGAAAGATCCTATTTGTTCAAAAGATAATATTTGGTTGCTTTATCACACAGAGTGTTTCATATTCTAGAAGAGTGCTTCAATTCGAAATCGAAATACACAATTCCAGTCAGTGCATGCAACACAGTCAAAGGAGGTACAAGACAATATAGCTGTCTTCAAGTATAAATGTCATCTAAAACAACATAATGCAGTTCAGAAATATACATAGAAACTCAGTGAAGGCAAAAAATAGGATCAAACATTACGATCTCAATGGAATCTAACAGAGTAACAAAATGTACAACTGAAGGAATCAATTAGAAAAAATTACAAGTGTTTACATGGAGGGATTTTCATAAACAAAACCTTCGAAGATGGATCTTACACCTATAAGAAATGTCTTCTGAGAACACTTGGTAAGAGGCCTTCGACAAAATCCAGGTGTTATTAGTGAAGGTGGACAGTGGCTATTAATGGAATCCTTGATCCATACTTTGTCTTATTTAGAGCTCCTTTGCTCAACGTGCCTGAATCTTGGAGTTAGTGTTCACTCCAGCACTCGAACTGACTACTTACTTAACCGAAAGGTAATTTAGAGCCATTCTGCACATGATGCACATAGCCGAAGAGACTGATCAACTGCAGTCCTAAACATCAGTGGGAAGATCCAAACTAATGAAGTGTATCATTTCCTTTCATGCCACAGGGTCTATACGAAGAAATACATAGACAGCTATTTGTTGTGATGAGTGAAAATACTCTGTAGAATTCCTAGTTACCTGATGATGACGCGAGAAGAATTGTATGGTACACCTTTTGTATCTACAGGTACAATTAAATGACAAATGGGTTGTCCATGGGCATCACAAGTAAGTAAGTCTAAGGTCATGGATCCTGGATCCCGAGGCGCTGTAGTAATTGCTGCTGTTTTAGTCACTAGTGTTGGTGATTCATCATACTATGTATCACTGATTACAGTAGTCGACTCAGTCACTATTTATGACACGTGTAAATGGTGAAAGATTGCAGCAAGGATCTAAAACAGAAACAAATAGTCCACATTCAACAGATAATCAAAAAGAGAGAATACGATGTGCCAAAACAATGACTTATATTTCCAAGAATTAAACTACGTGGTCAAAATACAATCGAGGTTGGGTTGCATGAACAGCCTTATACATCATCCTGTAGGCTCACATTGTATACGACTTGCTTCTCTTCTTCCATAAAATTTGCGTCATGACACTCTGCAGTAAAAAGTAAGAGATCCACATAAAGAACTTAAAACTTAATGATTTTCACCCAATCCATTTTCAACCTAAATTATTAACAAATCGTTTTGACGATCTGTGACTAGAAAGATTATAACAAGACCCTAATTACCAGTATCCAACTAAGATGCAAATCTCAATGAATGAACAGTTCACAGAATCTGGTAGATAGAATTGAATTTTGAAGAATCGAGTGTACCGCTGAAGGAAGTATCATTTTGAAATCGTTCTTTCCGATGCTCGTTGACTTAGTATCCTCATGCATTGTCTCGTGTCTAATTGTGTCAAATTGCGAAAAAAACTCACCTATAATTACCAGAAACCATTCAAAATTCTTTCGTAAGTTTTTTAGCGTGCAGTATTGCCATGTTAATGCAGATGGTACTCCAGGAAGGCAGACGATGCCTTGTTATCATTTCTAGAATCAAACTTTCACACATGAATGTTACCTACAGTTAGTACGAGAATTGCTTATTTCTACAGATTCAAGGCCAGCACACAATGATAAAAGAGTTAGAGTCGTATTTAATGTCTTATGCTACGTAATAAATCCAGACTCACATAATATAAATGGATTGAAATTTAGTCCATTTTGATTCAAATCATCACCTAAACATTCTCTTATCCAACTTCCTGTCTTTCTAGTTATATCAATATACTAGATAAGTGCCTAGTTTACACCCAGATAGTTAAGTTTAAAGTACAGGTTAGACTTTCCATACTAGGAGTATGCATTCAACAATCCTTTCATTCCGAATCCTTATAGTGTACGCGTTTCCTAGTTTCCGTGTGTTCGAAAATTCTACCATGCTTGACAGCACTTGTGATATTCACTATAGTAGAGAGTCAAGGAGTTCTGATACTTGGAATTTAGGGTGGGGGGTGGAGACCGAAAGAGTAGATATTGCCGCACCAATGCAAGGGATTTTGATTCATGTCATTCATAGTTTAATCATAGCTTTGGCTTTCGCTCGATAAGACAAGATAAGTGAGGCGACTGACTCGCTCAACTACTTTACTCCTTATCACTAATTCCGGTGTTAACTCAAACCAATGCTGAAGTAAAATTTTGCTTCTGGAGGTTGTTAATCGCATCTCAAATGTACTTGTATTGTTGCTTAGGGTGGTCAGTATCTTCACTAAACAGAACTATATCATCTGCGTATTTTTAAGTCGGCAGGTGAATTTCCTGCTAGGTTAACCTCTGATAAGTCGGAAGACGAAAGTATTAACTCTAAAAACTAAACAAAAGTGAAATAAAGTGGACAGCCCTGACGAACTCTGTTTGTGTAGACGCATAACATCACTAGCCGTTACACAATACTGTTCCAAACGGAATAAGTAAACTTGTATATTTTAATCGGATTTAATTGTCACAGGTATTTCAAGCACTAGTTTAGTTTGATTATTTAAATTATGATCAAGTGTAAGATACCAAGTATCGGTGACAAGTTATTAAGGCAGTTTATTTTTATTGCTCAAGAAGGCCGAAACATTCGTCAAGTATATTTCGTTTTCCATCTATTCTGACGCGCAGTAACGACTAGCATAGAAGGGAGTTAGAAAAACCCAGTCAAATCGATACACGACATTAATCTTAGGCCTGTGCTGAGACAAATATCCTGGTTGAAAATCAGACGGTAATCGTAATCGACAGTCGAAGACATTGAGTAATGAGACTTGAAATCCGAAGTAGCAGCTCAAACTTATCTATTCACTATTTCCCTTTGTCTTGAATTTTAATATTAGAATGTTACACTCACCAAGTCTATTCGCTCACTTAAACTAAGTTACTTACCTTCATTTTGTCGCATACTACCACTATTATTATTGTTTAGATATTTTAGTGGTTGTCATAGTAATTTCCCTTCTCCTTGTTGGGTTGGTGTGAAAACGTGAACTGATGCACACTCGATCTAGACAGTATGTTTTCTCGGATTGGTTACAGTATTGTTGGCTAGAAATAAAAACTTTCTAGTAATGAGTTGTCCATACCATGTACTTTCTGTTAAGTTGGGCTAAAAATCCTTAGTTACTTTTGAACAATGGATGAAGATTACAGCTTTGATTCCCATCTTATCCTTGTACATCATTGCTCTGAAGACTTGTTTAGAAATATTTATAAAGTGACTTGGTGGACACCAGTCAAATCGGAAAATCTTATTCTTAATTTTTGTGAACGGAAATCTGAAGCAATTGTCCGTCACGGTAGTTTCTTCAGGTTCAGATGTGCATTAGAATTGGAAGTATTCCTTATTACGGTAGGAAATTATTTCAGATGTTAGAGGTTTGAGAGGAAGCGGTTGGTTTTATAAAATTTGGGCGTTTAATAATAATTTCATGGAATTCCATTATGAGAGAAGTTGGTTATGGAACGCCATATATACCTTTTTGCCTTATATCCGTTCCTCGGTGTAGGATTATTCTAGTGATAAACTATAGTCAGTCAGTTGCAACGTAAAACATCGTACTTATGTACTTAAGTTCGTGTTGCCATAACACATTAGCACAGAGACGAAAATTTAAAATCAAATCCCATAGTGATAAAGATACTAGAGGTATTAATGGTAATGAAGAAGACTCGGCTTTGAAGATATTATTCAAGAAGTATAATTCAGTGAGATAAGGTTAGAAAGACAAAGGTAGAGGTGCTGACGATTCCAGAAGATTAGGATTTGAGAGAGCTCAACGAATGGATGTACTTGCGCCATTGCAAACGATTCTGAGACATGTCGTTCAAGGTCTATAACCGTCGGTGACTTTCGTCTCGCGGACCCCAACCAGGTAGTCTACATCTACCAATATGACTCAGTCCACTTGTCAGTGACTTCATGGATTTCTGCCATGTTTTGGTTTGACCGCCCCTAGCTTTCTTCCAACCTACTCCAACACCACAAAACATAGCTCGTCGAGGCAGTCGGTGGTTGGCCATACGTAACACATGTCCCAACTATCTCAACTGATGAAGTTTCACTACTTCATCTATTGATCTGCCATCCTTACTTAACACCCGTTTCCTAACGACAGCATTGCTTACTCAGTTGTCCCATGATACACGAGCAATTCTCCTTAAACATCTATGATCGAATACTAGTAACCTACGAACACGCTCGACTAATTCACTCCCTATCACAAGTTCAGGGGCCGATGCAACCCAGTCTTGAAGCAATATTTTGCATTTCGACGGGAAAGCCGCATCCCGAACATGCTTGCCTTGTTGCTTATGGTAGTCAGAAGACTGCATTTTGTCAGCGGAGTCGTGCACCCGTAACAGCACACGATAAACTATAGTCATTTTCCCGAAACTGCGGTTACTTGCAGCTGAATTTTATTCGGTCCTTGGATTATGCTGTACGTATAATTATTCATTCTTAAGCCGATCTACAAAACGAAAAACGGGGCAAAAGTGCGTATCACTTAGGATATGTTGAACTCCTATCGAAGCAAACATACTGCCTTAACTCTCCTTATATATATATATATATATATATATATATATATATATATATATATATATATATATATATAACAGCACAGATACAAAAAGTTCGACTGGCTTCTGCCACCTTGCATCACTTATGGCGTAGGCAAGATATCCGTTCGCTAACCAAAGGACGAGTGTACTGCGCAGCAGTTCACTCCTTCCTAATCCACAGGTGTGAAACATCGCCAGCAAGAAGGAAGGATATTCGTAGGTTACTAGTATTCGATCACAGGTGTCTTCGAAATATTGCTCGTATGTCGTGCGACAATCAAGCAAGCAATGCACTTGTTAGGACAAGGGTACTAGGTAAGGATGTCACATCAATAGATGAAGTACTGAAACTTCATCAATTGAGTTTGTTGGGACATGTGTTACGTATGCCCAACCACCGACTGACCTGACAAGTGATGCTTTGAGGTATAGGAGTAGGTTGGAAGAAAGGTAGGAGCGGCCAGACCAGAACATAGCACAAATCCATCAAATTACTGACAAGTGGACTGACCTATGTTAATAGGTGTAGACTACCAGGCTGGGGTGGTCGAGACAGTAGCAACCGATGGTTAGAGACGCCGAACGGCATGGCTCAAAATCACTTGCAAGGGTGTCAGCGCATCCACTCTTTGTGTTCTCTGAAATTCTAATCTGAACTCCTCATGACCATTTTTCTCTTCTTAGATTGATCGCACTGTGATATTCTTCTCGAATCATGTCTTCGATTCTTAATTTTTTTAAAACAGTGGTTCCCTTTGATAAAATTTGAATAGAGAAATAACATGTTGCTTGTATGTGACTGACGAGAAAGCACGAAATGGTACTATCTCACAAAATATGTCTTCTTATTTCTCTCATAATTTTTTTATTTACCGCTAATATTTTTACTACCTCTACTATTATGGGATTGAACTGAAAATTTGATCTCTGTGCTAATGTAGTGTGGTAGCTTGAGCTGATATGCACACGGGAAAAGTTCCACGTTTTAGCTGACTGACTAACTGATATTTTAATTAGAAAACCATAATGAAGTAGTAAATTATTTTATGTAACTTCTGTGATTGAATCGCACAGTCAGTCGTAATTTTTTGATCCAATAATTGCACTTCTAAATAGTAAGGGCGGTGATTAAACTACATCTCTATGCAGTTTGAACTATCCTGACGAATTGGACCAGTTTCAATCGTTAAATTGTGAATGATTTTTCGAATTTTTTTTTCCAGTAAATATTAAATCCTTACTGGCATATCGCGGAGCAATCACTGATATGTTCTTCCTAATCCTTAGTGCTTAGTCATATTCTATCCATCTGTCTGTCATGTAATCGCTAGTCTAAGTGACCAAAAACCATATACACTATGTTATCTATAGAATATATGGTCTTACTGAAATGTATTCCTAGGACTCTAGATCTGTGACCACCCGACATCTAACGGAAGCTGGAAAATAGCATACTTAACAAAATATATGCGTTTCAGACTGCCTTTGACTAGCTTTTTTTAAAGGATAGTTATTTTTAAGATATTTTTAATTGAATTCCAGTTAGTTTCTACTGAGAGTTCCATAATTTTTTTGTTCGTTTCTAGATGACAGAAAGTTGGTCAATCGAGTCTACAGTTCATTTTGGTTCACATTCGCTGCTTCCCGTCACCGATCTTCAAATATTGTGGGACCTACTTCAGTGTAGGTACTGCTGGTTCAGACGCATTTATCACCAACTTGCAGCCGAGGAACTTAGGTCAAATTCAGCTGTAGCGTCAAACTCTCGAAGAAGTTCTATCTCGTCTGTTCCTTTCCATAGTCTTACGAGAGCGATCCAAGCAGTCTTACGTGGTTTTAATCTTAATCGTATATGCCCATCAAAACTACACTCAAAAGCGGCTAACTTAGCATCTCTTCTGCATTTACATATAAAAACAAATTATCATCATATAACTCTAGTTAGCACTAAATTCTGCATCAAAAGACAGTATTGGGTCTGTCCTTCCCATGGACGCCGTCTGTTCGATTTGCTATACTGTAGTGGTAACTTCAGTATTCCGGAGCAGGGCGATGAGTTGGATTTCAATCTAACTATTCGTTCCATAATTCCCCAGGGTCACTCTGATTTCTTTCGATCTGTTCAGCTTTCAAGCTCTTCAGATGAGAGTGATGAACCAGAACAGACATTTTCTGTTCAAATTCACACTCCAGAGCTGTATATAGTAAAATCAAAGCCAACGGGTTCCCAAAATCATATATCCACAAAGGGATGTTCCTCAGAATCCAAACAATTCATAAGCAAACAACTTTATGAAGTTAACAGAAAATGGTCTTTCATGTACAGTGCAAATGAATTAAATTCTAAATACCTTCACGATAAAAACGAGACTCGACGTTTCTGTGATCCCAACTACAATGAAAAGAAACTAAATAATTCAAAACATGTGCATTTTCCCAGGGGAAACCCTATTTCTGCTGTCTACAACCTTTATACCTATGCCATAGCAAGCAGGCTAGAACGGTCAAATCGTATTTGGGAATTAGAAGCAAGGTCTCGCTACTTTGATCGTTTGAGATATTTATTATCAAGTGGTTTCGAGGCAGATCTAGCATCCCAGTTGGCAGAAGGCGACGATGAATCTATAGAACCTCACTCAAGTGTTAATGCAGTTCCTGAAAATAATTCATCCAAACTAGACAATCTCAAACCTACGAATGCAACATCTAAACGTTCAAAATCTCGACGTCGCAAACGTAATCGAAAACATGTATCTGATACAGTATCCTTGCTATCTTCACATTCACATAACGCAACTGACTCTAATATTTCACAGAATAAAATTGATGATAATTATCAAACATATGTATCGCTTGCATAATAACTATCAGATTAAGCGAATTTCCTGTGAGCCTTTGTCTCAGTTTATTGTACAGTTTATATTAGTATCTGTGATATTTGTCGATAATTTGATTGCACATTATTTTTTATACAGAATCTCACTAACTAATTACTGTTCTCAAATGCCATTATTTATGGATTTTTGTCTGGTGTTGAATATTGGGTAGTAGATTAATCTATGCTAATATTCGAAAGTAGAGTTCTTGTCTATCGTGTCAGCAATCTCAGACAGAGACAGATACAACTCAGAACTTCGTACGTACGTACAGCAGTTCAGGTTGCCATGCCCCATCAGCACAGAGAAGCAACTGTCATTTCAAATCCAAGAGTGATATTAATAATAGAAGTATTAGCAGTAATGGAGAAGATTAGGGAGCGAAGATATTATTCAAGAAGTATAATTCGGTGAGATAAGGTTAGAAAGACAAAGGTAGAGGTGCTGACGATTCCAGAAGATTAGGATTTGAGAGAGCTCAACGAATGGATGTACTTGCGCCATTGCAAACGATTCTGAGACATGTCGTTCAAGGTCTATAACCGTCGGTGACTTTCGTCTCGCGGACCCCAACCAGGTAGTCTACATCTACCAATATGACTCAGTCCACTTGTCAGTGACTTCATGGATTTCTGCCATGTTTTGGTTTGACCGCCCCTAGCTTTCTTCCAACCTACTCCAACACCACAAAACATAGCTCGTCGAGGCAGTCGGTGGTTGGCCATACGTAACACATGTCCCAACTATCTCAACTGATGAAGTTTCACTACTTCATCTATTGATCTGCCATCCTTACTTAACACCCGTTTCCTAACGACAGCATTGCTTACTCAGTTGTCCCATGATACACGAGCAATGCTTCGGAGACATCGATGATCGAAGACTTGTAACCTACGAAAGTCCTCTACTCTTAACGGCCAAGTCTCGCATCCGTAACGTAGGACGGAGTGAACTGCTGCACAGTACACTCGTCCTTTGGTTAGCGAACGGATATCTCGCCTGCGCCATAGTTGACGCAGGTTGGCAAAAGCCAATCGAGCCTTCTGTATCTGAGCAACGTGCAGATATTTTTGTCCACAAAAATGTTAAGTTTATTCAAACATATATAGTTCTTCGCAGCATGTCAAAGTCTTACATTGAATAATATTTTAGCTCTGCCCGTGTCTTGATCTGTCATCAATAAGTCAGTGACGTTTCGTAGTACCGAATCAATAAACAACATAATAAATTTTATGAAATTATATTCTGCATTTATTTAGGATGCTAAAAATAATAAGATTTTACATTTCAGTTTAGTGTTAGGCAATGAATGGGCTTTCACTGCATATCTGATGGGAGAATATATAAGTTAGGATAACATTTATCAGAGAAGTCTCATGAAGCCTCCAAATGCAGTGGTATGGTTAAGAGTGGAGAGAGTCCACTCTCCCTCGTAATACTCATTTGACCAATCGTGTGTGATCAGTACCAGGGGAGTTCCACTAATTGCTTACTTGGAATGTGGGTGTTGTTTATGAAATTGAGAGGACGAAAACCAAGTGTCGTTTAAACCGAGTAAGTGGGTGCGGAGGCTCCACCTTGGGAGTTGGGAAATCCTGATTCTAAACCAATGGTGTATATGGGATCAGGGATCCTGATGGAACGAATGGTGTTGGTCATCGGCTACCTCGGGATCAAATCTCAATGTTGCTCGACTTCCTCGTGGATTGGACCTTTGGGTCGGTTAGTGGCCTCCCAAGGGAACAGCTCACATTGGTTTGGGCACCCGGGTAGTATCTTGGCCCACTCACAAATTCAATATTTTTGTGGCGTATAAATATTTAGATCCCCCTTTGTACGATTGATGATGTGCTTAAATAGACAACAAGTAGATTTCACACTAGTTAGCTCATAAAGCGTTGTATGCCCAAGTTTGTTTCCATATACATATAACTCCACAAATGACACCTGTTAGAATAGTGTGTTGTACTGTTAATTTCATGGAAGCGAACATACGCAACCGGTTGATGAGATAAATACTTACTGTTTTTTTGAATCATCCTAGTAATTTTGGTTATTTTTTAAGCAACAATTTATGCATTTGGAGATCGTAACAAAGATATGTTTACTTTCTTTACATAATAAGCGTGAGAGTTAGGAAGAAATCAAAGATGAGTCACAGATAACTTTCTGTATAACTTTTGAGTCAAATCGTTATGAAATTTCATGCAATCAGTTCCGTTCATCAACTTATATAAAGGTATAGCAATTGAGGCTGAATGTAAATTCATCATATTTCGTGGTTTCTGATCATCTGCTTACGACCATCTACGTACTAAAGTGTAACAATGAGGTATAATATAATATGAAGCAAATGATACTGATGGTGAAAAGAATTGTAGAAGCAAAGATTGATAGTAATAGCTACATATGTACCTGTTTGTGAACAGGACTGAAGTTATTCAACGATGGAGTTCGAATAGAAACATGAAGAGAGGATGTGATAGTTATCGAACGAAGTCCGGAAACGATTAAGATGCATGGTGACAGTTCTGGGAGTTATAGAGAGTTTGCATGTGTTTTAGATCGGAAATTAATATAGAATATTTGGAGCAGTGAAGTGGTATTTGCCCAGAATTAGTTATTGGAGAGTTACATAGTCAGTAATGGTAAATCTTTCCATCATCAATGTCAATTGCTCCACATTATATCAAAACTTATTGCTACACTTCATTAAATATACGGTTCTAAGCAGCTGACGAGAAACCGCGAAATGTAGTGAATTCATATTATTCTGTCACAGTTATTGTTTTAGCCTTATCCAGATTTTTATGGTAATTCTGTTGATTAAGTAGTTGCTTTAATGGAAGTCTAGAACTCAAGACCAGAACTATAATTCCACCTTCATAATCTCATTATTCGTAGACTTTTCTGCAAGTTGTCTATCATAGTAGTTTGAAAAAATGGCAAATACAACCTTCATTTATCTATTTTCCACTAATATCATATAAAAAACAACGTCAATCATCATAGTTTTACTATTTTAAGTCATAATAAACAAGACGCTTGTTAATTTATTGAGTAAAAATGTGATGACGCCTTTGTTTTTTTAATCATAAACTTGTTTTTTCTTTTTTTTATTAGGTGAGTGTTAAATAAAACGTTATAACCAACCCATAAGCAGCAAGTTTATTCATCATATAAAGTGAGGCTAAATAAATTTACTGAAATATCAAAAAGCATGACTTGATAGATAAACTGTAATAGCTGTGTACAGTAGTGTGTTTCTGCCGTCAACTGTAATGTTGAGACCAGACCATTAATAAGGAACGCAGTCAGTCAGCTACAACGTAAAACTTTGCCCGTGTGCATATCAGCTCAAGCTACCACACTACATTAGCACAGAGATCAAATTTTCAGTTCAATCCCTTAATAGTAGAAGTAGTAAAAATATTAGCGGTAAACAAAAAAATTAAGAATCGAAGACATGATTCGAGAAGAATATCACAGTGCGATCAATCTAAGAAGAGAAAAATGGTCATGAGGAGTTCAGATTAGAATTTTAGAGAACACAAAGAGTGGATGCGCTGACACCCTTGCAAGTGATTTTGAGCCATGCCGTTCGGCGTCTCTAACCATCGGTTGCTACTGTCTCGACCACCCCAGCCTGGTAGTCTACACCTATTAACATAGGTCAGTCCACTTGTCAGTAATTTGATGGATTTGTGCTATGTTCTGGTCTGGCCGCTCCTACCTTTCTTCCAACCTACTCCTATACCTCAAAGCATCACTTGTCAGGTCAGTCGGTGGTTGGGCATACGTAACACATGTCCCAACAAACTCAATTGATGAAGTTTCAGTACTTCATCTATTGATGTGACATCCTTACCTAGTACCCTTGTCCTAACAAGTGCATTGCTTGCTTGATTGTCGCACGACATACGAGCAATATTTCGAAGACACCTGTGATCGAATACTAGTAACCTACGAATATCCTTCCTTCTTGCTGGCGATGTTTCACACCTGTGGATTAGGAAGGAGTGAACTGCTGCGCAATACACTCGTCCTTTCTCGACCGTAGCTACTACCTTGACGTGGTGGTCGGGCTTGCCTATCGTGATGACCCAATCGAGCTATATTGGCTGGAACATATGTTCCTGCAGGTCCTACCATGCCAGGCAGGTCGATTGGAGAACGATGAGATTAGAAGCAGCTACTCAAGGTCTGAGGGCGAAGTCGTACTGCTGACTGCACAGAGGTGTGACAGCAGTGAGGTGTTTCCCTCGGACAACCAGCATCTGCCTCGATGCCGCCTTCTCACAAGGAAGGAAGGGTTAGAAAAGGTCGACCCTAAAAGTGTTACACCTCACCCTACCTCACGGATTTCCGTCTCCTTGGGTTAAGGGTGCCCACTAAGGGCTTTCAAGAGCGGAGCTAATACTTAAAAATCCTTTCATGAAAAGGCCGTGCGTGACCGGCCTCAAGCAGCTGTCCCTTGGGCTCTGCGGTCCCACTCGCAGTTCTCTAACACCAACACTAACCTATCTTACTTTTCAGGTTCTTCAAAAAACAACCTTCCACAGTGTGGGGAGCCGGGAAGTGATAACCGCCCTCATATCCGTACCAGCACATGAGACCGAATCGGTCGAAATCAAATCCTTCCTACACTCACACATACCTCTCTTCTCTCCACAACTAAACCTACTCACATTCCCTTATCTCACTGCACCGCTAATGCAAATGATGCGAGTTCACGAAACGTCATTCCTGGTCTCTTGAAACCCCGTTCTAGACTACATGTTGGAGCATTTAATGTGCGTACATTGTGTCAAATAGGGCAACAGGCATCATTAGCTAGGACTCTAGAATCTCGCTCAATCGATGTATGCTGCGTCTCGGAAACGCTCATACAGTATCCTAGTAAAATTATTAATCTGATTTCACCTTGTCAGAATAAAGAAGCCGCTCGATTTACTCTTCGTGTATCCGGTAGCCCTGATGCTGCTTCCCGGGGTCTTGATGGCGTAGGCATAGCATTGAGTCGTAGGGCAGAACAATCTCTCCTAGACTGGATCCCAGTAGATAGTCGCTTGTGCGCTGTCCGACTAAACGGGACAGTAAGGACTCGGAAAGATAGGGACACTGGCCGTTGTCTCTTCATCGTATCTGCCTGTGCCCCCACTGACTGCATTTCAG